TGATAAACATGTGTACTATTTATATTTATGTGGCAATTTTGTACAATGATAAAATATGCAATTCATCGGTCCGTTTCTGACTCAAACGGACTGTAAATGAGTGTTGAAAACTGTAGTGCATATACTGCACATATTAGGGTCGTCCTTGGATTCAGGTGGTGCTAAATTAATGCACATGTGTATATACACATTAAGACTTTGATTCTAGAAACGTATATGACAAATGAAATTCGGAAATTAGAACGACGCTTTTACATGTTTATGTTCAGTATGTGATTGTTATATATGTTTTCATATTTTAAAATATAATAATTGTGAGAGCGCAGTTTGCTTAGGGACCGTTCATAATTTATGGCTTGAGGGTGATGATGGTTCTAAGGAGGGTCACCTATTTTGTTCTGTGGGGTTAGCAAGTTTGTACATAAAAGTATAAAAACAATTATGCTTAAACATTACGGGCATTTTGTCATTGATTTTGTACATGACATCATTTACTAGGACATAAAGTTTATGGGGGTCTTCACAATGTACATGCTTCTCCATAAAAATCATCATCATGGATCATTATCAAAACAGTGTTCCTGATAAACTCTATTCAATGGAAGGCACTGCATCTGATCTAAGGCCTCGTACAAAATCTGATAGAACAAGAATGAAAGTCGCTATTGGAAGATGGAGCCATAAGAGGAATAGGGTCGTTGATCAGAGTAGGTTCTTCAGTGAAGGTGATTTGCATGGTCATGGGCAGCAGCAATATATTCAGTGTGATTCGCAAAATTACTCCTCACTATCTTTGCATGACAATATGTCATACTGACCTTCCGGAAGGAATGAACATCCTTCACAGCACATTGCCAGTCAGAATGAGACGAACAATATTAAATCTCCTGGGTATACGTTCCGATAAATCTCCATTAGCACCCAGGATGCATCTGCGGCTCTGTTTGGCTGCCCGATAATTCTATTACCTTCCTTTGGTGGCTTCGCCTTCTAACAGTAGCCAATCAGATAAGCCGTTACAACTGAGCTTGCCAGTGTCAACAAAGAGGCGGAGGTTTGCTCGCTGTGAGACTCAGATTTAGGGGGAAAATCATACAGACAAATTGACAGGTCAAATATATATGCAAGAACCCCTTCTACCGCTTTCGGGATACCTCAGCAACAACTGTGTGGCCAAAGTCAACAGACTCCAAATTGCAAGGCAAGAAATGATAGAAGTGGTGTGATTGGTACGCTTTACTTCCCCGCGTAGACACCTGACTGGATAAATAGCCAGCAATAGGAGGTAATAGAATTATCGGGCCGAGCCGTAGATGCGGTACTAGTGGAGATTTATCGGAACATATACCCTGGAGATTATCGAAAATGTGCTGGGAGCAGAGTCGTTAAGATTACCAAAAACCTATAGATACTCTTCGGGAAGAGTGCGGTTGTAGTTTCCCTGATACTAAGCAGGAAGAATTACTCAACTGATGTTACAGACTTTGGAACCACTCACAGATCTGTGAGAGCCACTGTATAGCCACAAACTGCAGAGAGGAAGTATATTTTGAGTCACCGAAGAAACTGTCAAGGATAACTCAATGGGTGTTTTTCTATACAGCCTCGGCAGATTGTCTCATATGCAAGGAATGGTGGATGAAAGTTGTAGCCCATAAAACAAAACAATTCAATGAGCCAAACTCCCTATGGCAGTCAAGGGCGTACCCAAAACAGGGCATCTAGACCAGAGTCCATCTAGACTTGACAAGAGAGTAAATTCATTTTGTTCAAACCTGAACATTGGATATGGGGCATGGTGGGCGATGTGTCTAAGGCGCCAGGCTAGTTATCCAGCGAGCTTGAGGTGTCTGGATCAAGCCCACCTGTAACGTGTGGAAAAAAACTTGGAGTTAACTTTGTGTGCAGACTGTTTCAGTGTTGTCACAACCCCTAGTGTACAGTACACAACCCAGTGCACTTAAAAGAACCCACGAATCCGTTGGTATATGACCAGATGGTGGCCACATGAATACGTGCAAACACCTAGTTGCAGGTACAGCAACGTGCAGTAAACTTGTACAAAGTACTGTTGACTATGTGTCCCAGTCCACCCAGCTGTGAATGGGTACATTGTAAGGTTGAGAAAACCGCAATAACTCGTTGCGCCTAGTGGCTGCAAGAGTTGTATGGTCCCCAGGGAGTTTAGATTGATAATATGATGTGACGTTGAGATTGACATCCAATGATCGAGGGGGAAAATACCAGCGCCTTGAGCATGTACTAGTTGCCTGGATATGTGCGCTACGTAAAAATCCTATAATCACAGTGTGTGAGTCATTCAGCTGGTAGAGCAGCCCTGCAGCACGCACACCGAAGCACCAAGCCGCCATCTCGGATTTGGGTCAGGATGTGTCGGATGACAATGTTATAATGGATTAGTCAAGTAGTCAGCTGGAAAAGGGGAGTAGAGCAGCAGAGGCGCATTGCAATGTTTCTCTTACAGTTGATTCAGAGTGAGCTGTTGCAATGATGAGTGAGTGAGTGAATATTGCTTAAGGCCGCATCAGCAATGTTGCAGCTATTCGCGGCGATGCAATGATGAGACCTTGTTTTAAAAGAGGTGAAACTTACTTTACAATTTTACTTGACACTGGTAGCCAGGTGCACGTCTTTAATATCTCCTAGATAATACAAGCATCTTCCTCGTTCTATTACGATATCATTGGGAACCGGAATTCCTCGTTCTATTACGATATCATTGGGAACCGGAATTCCTCGTTCTATTACGATATCATTGGGAACCGGAATTCCTCGTTCTATTACGATATCATTGGGAACCGGAATTCCTCGTTCTATTACGATATCATTGGGAACCGGAATTCCTCGTTCTATTACGATATCATTGGGAACCGGAATTCCTCGTTCTATTACGATATCATTGGGAACCGGAATTCCTCGTTCTATTACGATATCATTGGGAACCGGAATATTCAAGGCACTGCTGACTATAATTGAACACATGGAACCTACTTGGGAACAATGTCTTGTAGCGGAGAGACTCATGGGGCTGCAGGTGATCTTGCAGATCACAGGGTCAAGTTACAGAGTGAGTGAGTTAAGATGTATCGTCACATCGGCAATATTTCAGCCATATCGTGACGAGAACAATTACTTTTATACATAGTAAGTAAATTGTACAAACCTGTCAACGAAGGACAGTAAAATAACCAAATTATCACAGATTCGAATATAAAACTAGTAATTAAATCTAAAACAGTTTAACTATAGATGACAATACAAAGTAAAAAAAGGCTATATATTGCCAACAACTGAAGGTAGATCACCATACTAGGGACCATGGGGACTTACAGTACATTTGCTTCCTGCATTAACCCTAGCTGGATTTACACCCTCCCTTCAGCTATTAGCAATGTTAGATAATCTAGCCACAAATTAAACGAACATATGTTCAACGATTAAAATGGTAGTAGGTTTAAGTTGACTTTGAATGTTTTGGGGACTTACGTACCGTCAAGTTACAGAGAGTTTGGTTCCCTTCCTGACAGAACTGCAGTGGTAAATGATAATACCTTGCTTCCACTACAGTCAGTGTCTTATGATAAAACTGTTACCCAATAATCAGCCGAACAATAAGACTGTTTATGTCGAGCCATGTAAGGAGACAAAGTGATCTTCTCATGGAAAATGGCGGTGTCAATATGGCCAATGCATCGTATGTTAATGTCATTAATATGAAAGACACCTTAGCAGATGGTATTCATAAAAATTCATAAAACACTTAAGCTGTGAAAGATATATCTATTCAGAGCATAACAGTTTTTAATTCAAAAATGCATTCTGCTGTTAACTAAATATATTGAATTCTGCGCATGTTATTTCAATCGTTTATCGATGTTAATTGTAATCATATAAGTATTTCATGCGTGTTGGTTTGATTAATTGTGATAACTGAATATATTTATGCAGCACAAAATGCAATCTGAAGTAAGAAACACCCAGAGCTTATTTTTTACGACCTTAAGTGATTTGGGAGGAATAGTCGATGGACAGGACATAGTTGTGCTTAAACGTGAGAAACCATGCAACCATTGGACGTAAACGTCAAACGTATATATACTCATGCCAATAATGGTTGTCACCCCCTTCAATTTTTTTTAAATGGAAAGGGGTTGTGGGGTGGGTTGTGGAGGTGTGGGGTGGGGTTGGGTGGGGGGGTGACAACCATTATTGGCATGAGTATATATTAGCCTTGTTTAAATACGTCTGCCATCGCAGCATTGAGGGGACTTGAGCTAGTCGAGTGGTTACGCCAACTGAAAGACATCTATATGCAAAGGATCGAATCTATATTATTATCAAATAAGTGTTTTTATTATATCCTTTGTCAAGAAGACCACTTAACTAATATTATGAATAATTGAATCAATAACTACTGAAGATATGAAATAATGTAAATCTGTATATACTCTATGAATTGTCTATATTGTATTAATATTGGATTGTACTACAGACCCGTGGCCTTGTGAGTACTGGAACAAAGAGTTGGTCTGATGTTGTGATTATGATCAGCGTTTCATTGAGTATTATTTGTTTATTAGTTTTCGAGTTAGATGGCAAATCATCGGTCGGTTTTTGAGCCAAACGGACTTTAACTGCAGCCGAGATCGGTAGCTCTGGCTTTACCTTCTGTTTATACACGGGTGAATTTTAGGTAGATGTTTTACACAGCAGCATAAGAACCACGAATAGCAACACAGACGTTCCTTTCTTAGTTTATTGTGTGTGACAATTGTCTTGCACGACATATATATCAAGTGGACAATTTCGCGTTGTTCTTGTCACTGTTTGGTTTGTCGCACCAGCTGTTCCAGGTATTCAAATCTGATAATGCAAATCAAATGCATGGGTTACAGTTAATAGACTACATAGAGGAAACACCAGATCCGTCACTCCACGATTGTACCACCCTGAGCTGCAATAGGATTAATGATCTATAACAATAATCAGAAACCTCGTGGTTCTGATGATTACCTCGGTATTTTACCTTTGTATTTTCAATAGGAAATAACTGCAGTCACAGTGAACTCTCACGGCGACACATCGTATCACGTAAGCTGCAATCGCCTGTCCAAGGTATCATGTACTGCAACACGATACGCGCTCTACTTTGATGAGAAAAGCGCTTTCCGTTACTGCAGTCAGTTCACAGTGGAGTAGGAGACACAAGTGCCGACTGTTAGGAAAGAACCCCATCTTCAGTTCAATAGCCAGTGAACGACATAATACTGCTTGTGATTGTGGGCAATCACAACTGAAGGTGAGCGAAATGTCATTTATTTAACCCTATTTAACAACCTAATTCATTAGTGTTTGATTATGTTGAAACCGTATTTGTCTGACACAGGCATGTAGGTTGGAATTTCATTTTTCGGCATTGCTAATTAAGAATTTGATTGTCTAAAAGGTAAATGTTAGTCAAGTAATATAGGTGCGCTACTCCCTTGTGCTATGATTATAATTGTTGCACTATGCTCTGTAGCACTACGTGTACACATGGTAGTATAGCAAACTTTGTTTCGTAGATGTGTTACCAATATTTGTGATATCTGGCAATAAGGCTCCGGTCGTGTGTACAATGAATATTGCTGTGGATTTTCAATGTCATCCCTGTTAGGTTTACAGTGCATCCCGAGTGTAGGGTCTGGACATTATTTCGCTTTGAGGCAGTAGACAGGAAAGGTCTTGTAGTTTGGAGATCGCACTATGAAGTTTGAACTCTGAATAATGTCATCTTGGGCTTCGAAATCTGCATGGCGTTACCTTCTACAGATGATGTCAGACTCTGATGTAACTGATAATGGCCCCAAAGATACTTCACCATCCACCATCGCTGTAGGACTGGTGGAGATGAATGAGGACACTTCCAGCGGTGATGCGAGACACAAGAGAGAACACTGGTCATCTCAGTGGGATTACATCATGTCCATGATAGGCTACTGTGTGGGATTTGGTAATCTGTGGAGATTCCCTTACCTCTGCAACAGGAATGGTGGAGGTAAGACCTCATGTCAGTCGTCCTACAGTGAAACCCACTTGATACAGCTGCAGTGAATGGGTGAGTTCAAGTATATGGTCACATCTGAAATACTTCAGCCATATAGTGACTAAATACAAGTTACAATTTCATAATAAATCAAAGTAAAACATAAAACCCTGCCAACGAAAGACAGTAAAACAATTAGACTATCACAGATTTCAATTTAAAACTAGTAACTAAATCTAAAACATATAACTATAGATGACAATACAATATAAAAACAGGCTATAGATTGCCAACAACCGAAGATAGATCATCATACCAAATACCATGGGGACTTACAGTGCATTTGCCTCCTGAATGGACCCTAGCTGGATTTATGCCATTCCTTCAGATGTTAGCACTTTTTACAATCTAGCCATAAATTAAAACAACATATATACTGCGATTAAAAAGTAGTGGTAAGACTGAATTTACTTTAATTGTTTTGGGACTTACGTACCCTCTCAATAGGGGAATAATTTGACAGTAACCCCCTTGGAGGAGCTATAGCTGCAGGGAACAATGATGTTGTCCTTTGCTTAAAGACATGGCATTAGTTGAATTCGTAACGAGATTCACTAAAACATTAAATTTAGGTTTGCTCGTGATACATGTATTTCAAATAACCTTTTATTATAAATAACATTCTTATTACAAATTAGATCTTCATGCATATTCTTCACCATTAAGCCAACGTGCCAGATTAGACTGAAATAATGTCCATAGTGACCTCCAACCCAGACCATTTACGATACTATGGACCAGTTAAGATTCCAACTGACAGCCTTTTCAAATTCTTCCGAAAGGCATAACAATTAACCAATTACCTTCGGAAATATACACCAATGGGAACAAAACGCTATGCTATTAAAATGAATTATTTTGAAATCACGAAAAACTGTCAATCCCTGAAAATATATTTGCTAAGTTGACACGTCCAAAGTAGTTGATTTTCTAACTTGTGCCATAGGTTCGAGTATTTGTTCAAATGAACATTTGACTTGCCTTTTCATGTCCTTTTGACGTCAGACTTCGCCACCTTCCCTTGTAGTCTCTGTCGGGCTCTATAATGCCTGGCCAGAAACTGAGTGATTTTCTGCAGGGTTTGGCAGGGCTGATTATTGAGCAGAGGGCAAAATTGTCATCCCCTCTAGGAGACCAGAGTACAGCGTAAATTATTAGTAAGTGAGTAATGTTTTATGCCGCTTTTAGCAATATTCTAGGAATCTCACGGCGTGGGACACCAGAAATGGGCTTCACACATTGTACCAATGAGGGGAATGGAACCCAGGTCTTCAGTGTGACGAGCAAACACTTTAACCACTAGGCTACCCAGCTACAATGAACAGTGATTTTCAGTGTCATCACTGTTAGGTTTACAGTGCGTCCCGAGTGTAGGGTCTGGACATTATTTCGCTTTGAGGCAGTAGACATGAACGGTCTTGTAGTTTGGAGATCGCACGATGAAGTTTGAACTCTGAATAATGTCATCTTGGGCTTCGAAATCTGCATGACGTTACCTTCTACAGATGATGTCAGACTCTGATGTAACTGATAATGGCCCCAAAGATACTTCACCATCCACCATCGCTGTAGGACTGGTGGAGATGGCTGATTATTGAGCAGTGGGCAAAATTGTCATCCCCTTTAGGAGACCAGAGTACAGCGTAAATTATTAGTAAGTGAGTAATGTTTTATGCCGCTTTTAGCAATATTCTAGGAATCTCACGGCGTGGGACACCAGAAATGGGCTTCACACATTGTACCAATGAGGGGAATGGAACCCAGGTCTTCAGTGTGACGAGCAAACACTTTAACCACTAGGCTACCCCACCGCCCCCCCTATGACTTAAATGCGTGAATGCAAGGGGTCCAGTTGTCAGTAATATGTATTATTTTTGCGGATAGTGACAGGATCGAACAGGTGGATAGACAGACTATCAGATAGAAACAATCATGACACTGAGGAAGACATTGTTGGTTGAATGTGACGACAGTGTAGGGGAACCACCAAACACGATCACAGCAACAACGGCGACAACGTTAGGTTATGTTGGACGCAGTAACCGACTTATTGTAAGGTTTCTAGTGAGTATTGTATATAGTTGTACATACTGGTAAAGAAAATAATGATTGTATGTATACTATCCCAAAAAAGAAACGCATATGCCTTTTGTATTTTAAAACTCTGTTAATTACCAATTGTGTTCAAACAATCGTCAAAATATGTAGCAAAAGTGTTGATAACATGATTTTACACTATTGCACAAGGGAAAAATCGACTTTACCTGAAAATGTTGATTTTGATGAGATTTCTTACAAGCATTAAAAAGGCATCGCCACAACGCAACAGAAATCACCTTCCAGTTGAAATTGTGCAGCAAAGAGCATGCACTGTCTGGCTCTACAATTCAAGATTACTTTCGGAAATCGGCATTCGTTTTGAAGGAGTTTCAAGGTCAAATCACTATGCCACGTCTTGACGCTGCAACACGGAACATCGCCATTGAAAGAATGCACGCTGTAAATTACCAATTTTCTGTTGCCAGGCGTCTGAATGTTAGTCTGAGCACGATATCACTGCTTGCAACTCGTTGCAACCAAACAGGTATAACAAATGACCGCCCCCCGCACAAGCAAACCTCGAGGCACCACTGCAGCCCAAGATCGCTACATCCGGGTACTACATTTGCGTGATCATACTGCCACGGGGAAGAGCACAGCAGCACTTCGGAGGATATCCGGTCAAACTGTACGGAACAGGTTGAGAGAGATTGGACTGAGAGCCAGGAGACCCGACGTCGGGACCATGCTACGTGGTCACCATCGCGTTCAACGTCTCCGTTATCTAGAATTATCCACTCGGTTGTATAGACATGTCCTTCTTCGAAACTGAAGTAAAATTCATGTATTAAAGTGTTTTTGTGGACGAGTTATACATGTTTGAAAATACAACATTTTCGCAACAGATTTCTGGGTTACGCGTTTCTTTTTTTGGAATAGTATATTATAGTTTGTTTCGGAGAAACTTTTACGTTTCCTATCTGGGTTGGCCAGATGTGCTTTGTCAAGTTAGTGGTGTCACAACATTGAACAACCAAGTCAAAGTAGTTAGTATAGAATTTGTCCCACCATGTCACGGGTTAAAATGACATGGAACAAATGATATGGAGTGTTCATAAATTACTGGATCGCATTCCGACAGGCTGACAGGCATGATAAGCATGTTTTCTAAACTACATGATGAAACAATGGGATTACATTCAACATTTAGCAGGGTCAATTTAAACCTCAAATAATTTAGCCGACTGCACATCAGGCAGAAACAATCATTATTACCGTTTATCGGGAGATAGTAACCGTAGTAACCGATTTATCGTAGTAACCGATGCTGAGTTGAATACGATCAGACAAAATATTAAGAAATTAGCAGACAATCAGATGGGATTAGCTCACATTCTTCAGGAAGTATACGTATGACCGTACAAATACGTACAAATTTCAGCAAAAAGACATGCCATTAATGAAGTCATTAACAGCCTGGGCATAATTAAGGGAACCATTTCTTATGTTACACAAGAAGTGGTTAAGCGCATCTCGATATTAGAATGGGGAACAAAAACATATTTGCAAACTGAATAGGTAACTGTAAAATTACACAAATGTTGTTGATGAGACAAATAAGTATTTCGTGGGATTAAGTGTTGTTGTTATGGTAATCATACTTTGCATCATTATATATAAGAGATTATTTAAACCCTGGTGGCAAACGGAAAAGGGATCCGACCATTTCATGTTGTTTCTCTCAATGCCGAGTGCGAGGCAGGGTGACTTTTTATGACTCGGCCAGGGGATAGAACCATCTAGCCACCCGGGACGGTCTATAATTCATTGTTACTCTAGTAAGTGGCTCACTGTAATATTAATATCTCTGTCCTAAATCACCATTTGAAACTCAACATCCAGTTGCATTTCATTACCAGTCTTTGAATAAAAATTAGTAGTAAAAAACTTAAAGGAGAAGATATATGAAGGTCAGTATTATATCACAAGAAAACCTTTCTCATCACCATTCCCCTGATGATCAACTCCGAACCGCTCTGATAGACAAGCTGACATACATTCGCCCCCTTAGATGCCACATTGACTACAAATTATGAAACAGCGATGCAATTTAGAAAACATTTCACTTCATCACATATTTTGTGAAAATATTTATGGCGGAAACCTCTAGGAATCTACTTTTGGCATTTACATCCTTCATGAGGCTGATGGTGGGAAGAGCATTATTATGAAAACAAGTGGACTTCTCAGTCCTTGAAATCAACAGAATGTTTATTTCTTGAACTTTAAGTGCGACATCTCATCTCATATTGCCATATGGCACACTTCATATGCCACATACTGATTATGACTATGTCATCGAATATATTCCTGTAAACATTCATGATAGTCATTTTTCCTGTTTTCTCAACCTAAGCTTGCGATTATTTTTCTATACAGGTGCATTCGTGATCCCTTTCCTGGTATTCATCATTATCGCCGCCTTGCCTGTGTTTTATCTTGAGGCCTCTCTGGCTCAGTTCTCGGGCAAAGGTGCTGTACAGACGTGGCATTTCTGCCCCCTCCTCAAAGGTATGTCAACTTTATTGAGATCAGTAGAGTCTCTCACAGTATTGTACAACCACGTTCAACACACTGCATTTCATAAATATCCCCATAAGTACGCATGTATTTGCAGCGTTTTAGGGATATCCAAAGTAAATCGGATTAGACTATTATGTCGATCAATGTCATATGGATGTAATGACAAAATACAGGACTGTCGCTCTGTCAACAAACTGCCAACGTCAGTGTTCTAAGTCTGTCTGGCATCCCAAAGATGTCAAGAAGTGGCGAAGGTCAATTGATTTGGAAGATTTGTTCCTTCTCAGCCATGAACCCTCGGGATTGGACAACGTCAGAACAAGAAGGTTGCAAACAAAGGAAAAATTTATCCAAAAATCTTAAACAACGATCTGACACGAAATTACTTTCCCAAAAATATATTAAAAATCACTAACTTCCAACAGATTCAATTTACTACATTATAGAGAGAGTATATTATATAACATTCTCCTACCAACATACTTGTTACAATATTACTTGCCTCTCTACTGTTGAGAATGGCAACATTCGTCAGATATTCAAATATAGTCAAAAGTCTCATGAGTACCCTCCAACGTACTGGGACCGCAATTCTAATTGTTTAAGCTTCACGATGATAGATGACGAACAAGTTGATGAAGTCGGTGCTCAATAAATATATATAAAATGAGAGATGCGTTGCTGAGTCCGGCAAATGTACCCCCGCATCCTATCTCGACAATACATCGCAACCATTATAACACTCAAAGAAAGACTTTCTGCATGTGCTCAGAATATTTGGGACATATGAATTCTGAATAACGTCAATGCCTAAGAACTTTTCTGTCAAAAGTTTTTGCAAGACTACCGCAAAAGACGTCACTGATAAAATCTGGAAACAAACTGTCATTTCCTTGCTGATCTGTTTCTCGGATTGGCAAAAGTAAAGTAATCTGACATATTTCAGAAACGAACAAACAACCAAGTCCGGATCCATCCACTAACCTACCTGTCTGACTAAGTGAGTGAGTGAGTGAATGAGTTAAGATTTATAGTCACATCGGCAATATTTCAGCCATATCGTGACTTCAAAACGTTTTAGTGAGTGAGTGAGTTAATATGTAACGTCACATCGGCAATATCTCAGCCATATCGTGACGAAAACAATTTATACGATAAAAAGTGAAAACATTTTGAAGATTACAATCTGTCGACGATGGACAGTAAAAATACTAGAGAATCAAAGCTATCAATATAAAACTAGCGAGCAAAGCTAAAACATTCCATTTTAAGAAGACGATACAGTATAAAACACGGGCTATAGATCGCCATCAACTCAAAAGGTTTTAGATTGATAATAAAAGAAATACGTTTAGATTATCACACATAGAAACGTAAAACCAGTAAATCTAATCAAACATTTAACTACAGAGGTCAACACAATATAAAACCAGGCTGCAGATCGCCAACAACAGAAGGTTTATCACCACACTAAGGACTGTCTGACTAAGAAATAGAACAGATATTTGCAACCGCCTCCCCTGTTTCATACTTAGATCTATGCATAAAAGATCAGAGAATGACTGTCTACACGACTGAAAAGAACAGAAGGATTACTTCACTTTTCCAAATACTAATACCTTCTGTCATGTCGAGCAACACTCTATCGGCTCCTGCCTTCGGTGTCTCCTTTGTATAAATTTGTTGAGCATCGCACATCTCGAGTAAAAGATGTTTGAACAGGGTAACAATAATCAGTAAACGCTATCAAAAACATGTGTGGTCGACATTCTCAAATATGACATAGCAGTGGCAAAAATTGTGTGCGATGCAATGCCATTTCACTTTCTCTTACATGTACTATTGATGGGTGCCACCGGTGTGGTAAGATACGATTCACAAACACATACTATCAATACCATATTATAGTGATTCATGAGTATATCACAGTGAGAAAGTCGAAATTGTACATTCGAATGTTGTTTTAGAATAGATTGTACATGACTATTGAAGAAAGGATTTTGACGCTATTACTAATATACGTGCGATCTTTCAGAAGTATCTTTTCCACGTATCTCAGACCTAACTCATGGCAATGCAGTCACTAAACTGTTCATCGATCAATACTTGTTTTGCAACATTCTCACATCTAGATTATTCACCTTTGTAGGTATCGGTATCGGAACGGTTATCGTAGTTGCACTTTGTCAACCCTATTTTCAAATCCTTCTGGCCTGGCCAATCTACTACATGGTGAAGTCCTGCTCCAGTGTCCTGCCCTGGACAACATGTGGTAACTGGTGGAACACAGACCTGTGTGTGGAGGACATCTCCACTTTGAAAGGACATTCAATGAACTCTACACATATCCTGAACTATACGGACGCTGCAGGCACCAACATTGCAGAACTGTGGAGGAACAAGACTTTATCACACACCGCTGTGGAGGAGTTCTACCAGTGAATTTGTTTAGAATTTGTGTAATCATCTAGTGTCCATATAGGTATCACTGCCAAAAAGTCTACATTTACAAGCTTGTAAATGTCTACGATTTTGTAAAGATGAAATTTACAAACATTCACAATTTTGTAAATATTGAGAAGGGAGATAATTGGTTTGTATTGTAATTTCTGTGTGAGCTGCAGTGGCATGTAACATAACTGAAATTTGCCCATAATAATAATAACAATAAATGCATATTTATAATGCGCCCCTTCCACACCCTAAGGCATGCTCAAAGCGCTACAGAATATTTACACTGGAGTATTTACAGATGAAGTTATACATAATATACTGAGAAAAGGTGGGTTTTAAGTCTGGACTTAAAAATGTCAATTGTGGCAGAGCTTTTAAGGGCACATGGGAGAGAGTTCCAGAGCACAGGCGTTGAGTAAGAGAATGATCGGTGTCCGAAGGATTTCAGTTTGTAGGATGGGATGACCAGTCGGTTTTGTGTGTTTGAGCGCAAGTTGCGTGCGGGGACATACGGATGTAGGAGTTCAGACAAGTAGGAGGGAGCCAAACCATGGAGGCACTTGTATGTCAGACAGAGGATCTTAAAGTCAATTCTGGCCCTAACTGGTAGCCAATGCAGTTCTTTCAACACTGGTGTTATGTGGGAACGTTTAGAAGTCTTGCTGATGATGCGGGCGGAAGTATTTTGGATCTTCTGAAGCTTATCAAGGAGTTTAGAACTGAGGCCTGAAAGGATGCTGTTACAGTAATCAAGCCTAGATGTAACAAAAGCTCGAACAAGGGTTCGAGTTGCAGCAGTTGTCAGGTATTGCCGAATGTTACCAATGGATCTTAGGTGAAAGTAGCAGGTCCTGCTCAAACGGTTAACATGAGCATCCAGAGTCAAGGAAGAGTCGATGTGGACACCCAAGTCCTTAACCACATCAGAGAATCTGACGTCAGAGTCTGCGACTGTAAGGGTGTCGGTTTTGACCTTGCTGAGTTGTTGCTTTGTACCAATGAGAACTGCTTCTGTTTTTGTGTCATTAAGTTTAAGCATGTTTCCTGTCATCCAGCACTTGATGTCCTGCGTACATTCAGCGATGCACTGAAGAGACGTGGAGAGATCTGACAGATGAAACGCTTTCAGGAGCTGGGTGTCATCAGCGTAGGCATGATGAGAAACTGTGTGGTCTGTAGTAATCCTTCCGACATATCCGGTATACAACACAAATAGGACTGGTCCAAGGACTGATCCCTGTGGCACCCCACATGTGATTACAGTGCCTTTTGATCTCTCAGTGCCAACAACAACAGATTGCTTTCGGTCAGACAGATAAGACGTCACCCATTGAAGGGCATGACCTTCAAGTCCGTACTGTTGTGTGAGCCTGGACAAGAGTCTATAGTGATCGAGTACTACATTGTGTTAGCGGGATGACATACACTCCTTGCAATGTATTGACAGGAGGGATGGGGTGTCTGGTACTTTTCTGGCATATGACTGGTGCGTGAGTAGACATGTATGGCCTGATGCACTTAGCAGATTGCAGAAAGAGTTAAGTTATACTAATTTATAGAACTCGTTAAAAGTTGATCACAGTGGACTGCGAGGGAGAAAAACATTTACATTACATATCATCTCAAATTTACTGAGGGATAATATTCATGTTATGTGTTCACGCGTCAAGTGCAGTTAAATTCATATACTGTATACGTGGCCTGTTCCTTTCTTCTCACGTTTAAATTTCTCATATGCAAGAAGCAATATGTATTTCGACAATATGATATGAACTAGGAATTCGTGTGGTCACTCAGCAAGAACAAGAGACACTCGTTATGAATTTGAATTCGGAGAGATATTCAAACAAGGGATCCATGGGGAAAATAAAACCTGAAAGAGGTACTGGTAAAATCCTTCTGAATATACCAAAACCAAGCTCTGAATATATACTACCAATCAAAGGTTTCGACCCACTAGTGTAAATGGAGCCACTTATTTCAGTCAACCGTTCTAAACTTAATTTTGCGAAATATTCCATACTGTTTAAAGGTACTGTTTACACATGAACTGATGTATTGTAAAACAACTTTATAATGTTGATAAGATTATTGACATGAGTTCAATAAGTGATGAAACTCAGTGAAAATTGGTGAATTCTTAACAAAACTTTACACCAAAACGCAGCTGTTCACATGCACGATATTTGCACATGTTTTTCAGCAATTTGATGCATGATCCTCGTGCAATTCATCTGCATAAGGTTTGCAGTTAGTTCCCCTAAGTTAGTGGAGAAATGTATCTTCGATGTAACCACATATATATACATAACATATAGTGAGTGCTTTAAGTAAGTCTAAACTTTTGATGGGTAGTATATAAACCCTAAAACACTTGAAATCTTGTGTAAATACGAACTTTCCAACATGTAAATTTGGTAAATCTTCGAATTTGTTCTTGTTATGGTGTCAATTAACCTTTGCAGTAAACCAATCTGCATTTAGTCCATTGTTTTGCTATGTGATGAGTATCTGTGTTCTTGCCTGACTGTGGTTATATACTCTACTGTTCTTTTGGTTGAAGCATACATTGTGTCCTCATGTTCAGTGGAATGCCTTTATGTTACGCCGTAGATGCTCTGTGTTTCTAACCCACTTGAGCAGAGTGGCTTATAGTTTTTGTTACAATATTAGCAAAACTGGCAATGTGTGCATTGAATTATGCTCATATTCAAAACTCAGGTTTCATTAATACTAAACACATCTTTCATAATGAAGCAAACACAAAATGGATACATTTATATAACTTAACTGGAACGGTTGAATGACAATAACACTGTATCTTATTTCAAAGCATATAGAACTTGTTCTTTCAGACGTTGCTGTGGTAATTAACGTTGAGTGTTTAACGTATCTCGGATAAGCCCTGAGAGTAAAGAAACAACTCTTTTCTACGAGACATCTTAGATTTTCCTTTAAACCAAGATATGCATGTGTGAAATATAGAAAAGTGGTTGCTCAAAATCGAAACGATGTTAGAGTCGCACATACCATAAAGTATAATTTATCTTAAAACAAACTTACTCTTTTTCAGGTACCACGTCCTTAATATATCAAGCGGAATACATGAAATCGGTTCCATTCAGTGGCATATCGTGGGATGTTTATTTGCGTCGTATGTGTTGATTTTTCTGTGTCTGTTTCGTGGAATCAAAGCTAGTGGGAAGGTAAGACTAAAACACTATTCTTACCTTGTTGTTACCAGTTGTGTTGTTGTTTTTTCTTAACTGTATACAGTTCATAAGAAAACGACATATGGGTGTTGCGAGTAAGCATGTAGGTATCCGGCAACCTGTGCTCATCGCAAAAAGCGACTGCGTGTGAGTGAGTGAGTGAGTATGCTTTTAGCAATATTCAAGCAATATCACGGCGGGGTACACCAGAAATGGGCTTCACACTTTGTGCCCATGCGGGGAATCGACCCCGGGTCTTCTGCGTGACGAGCCAACGCTTTAACCACTAGGGTACCCCACCGCCCCCGACTGCGTGTGAGTGAGTGAGTGAGTTTGGGTTTACGCCGCCTTTTGCAATATTCCGGCAATATCACAGCAAAGAACATCAGGAATGGACTTTACATAATGTACCTATGTGGAGAATCGAAAGCTTTAACCACTAGGAAACCCCACCGTCCCAATAAGTGACTGCATGATCTCATAACAGTAACCTGTTCTCTAAAACATATATTAACCTGAACAATCTCTGAATGGCACCACGTTCTCACAAGCAAGACATTTCAAACAGAATGACATTATTGTGGCAATGTATTCTCTAACACAAGACCTCTCAAACTATAGGATCTCATTATGGCAATGTATTCCCGCACACAAGACACATCAAACTGTATGATCTCAATATATAACAAGTTTTATGGATAACAACTTCTTTATTTTGGTGAGTGCGACGTTTCGATACAGATTCTTGTACCGTTGTCAAGCAAGAGTGATACATGAAGTGTAGGAGCTGCATATATATACTGTATATAACAATGAAACAACATAATAGACAAAGGAAACAACATAATTGCCATGATTGGCTAAGCAGTAAGCTGATGAAGCCAGTAAGTACATAAAGGATAGTGAATGGAAGCCAGAGATGTAGTTACAATGAGGTGTTTATACAATGGATGCGATGTTTATACAATAGACTGGGCTTGGTGGAGGAGTGGATCATAAGCAGATGGAATGAAGTATCCTTGGTCACGGTTGATGGTAGGCTTGTGGCGTTTGATGTGAATGGCTTCTGTGAGCTTGCGTTTAGTGAAGTCCGTTTGGTTGTTGGCGAGAATGGTGATGTCGGACCACTCTATTTGATGATTGGGGTTGGCTTTGATGTGGTCAGAGATAGCTGATTTGGTGTCGGAATTAGCAACAGAGGTGCGATGTTCTTTGACTCGGGTGTTGATGGGTCGGGATGTTTCACCTATGTAGCATTGTCCACAATCACATTGTGGCAATGTTTTCCGCACACAAGACACCTCAAACTGTATGATCTCATTGTGACAATATATTCCCGCACACAAGACAACTTAAAATGTATGATTTCATTGTGGTAATATATTCCCTCACACAAGACACCTCAAACTGTATGATCTCATTGTGGTAATGTATTCCCGCACACAAGACACCTCAAACTGTATGATATCATTGTGACAATGTATTCCCGCACACAAGACACATCAAACTGTATGATATCATTGTGGCAATGTATTCCCGCACACAAGACAACTCAAACTGTATGATCTCATTGTGACAATATATTCCCGCACACAAGACAACTCAAACTGTATGATTTCATTGCGGTAATATATTCCCTCACACAAGACACCTCGAACTGTATGATCTCATTGTAGTAATGTATTCCCGTACACAAGACACCTCAAACTGTATGATATCATTGTGGCAATGTATTCCCGCACACAAGACACCTCAATTGTATGATTTCATTGTGGTAATATATTCCCGCACACAAGACAACTCGAACTGTATGATCTCATTATGGCAATGTATTCCCGCACACAAGACACATCAAACTGTATGATCTCATTTTGGCAATGTATTCCCGCACACAAGACAACTCGAACTGTATGATCTCATTATGGCAATGTATTCCCGCACACAAGACACATCAAACTGTATGATCTCATTTTGGCAATGTTTTCCGCACACAAGACACCTCAAACTGTATGATCTCATTGTGACAATATATTCCCGCACACAAGACAACTTAAAATGTATGATTTCATTGTGGTAATATATTCCCTCACACAAGACACCTCAAACTGTATGATCTCATTGTGACAATATATTCCCGCACACAAGACAACTTAAAATGTATGATTTCATTGTGGTAATATATTCCCTCACACAAGACATCTCAAACTGTATGATCTCATTGTGACAATGTATTCCCGCACACAAGACATCTCAAACTGTATGATCTCATTGTGGCAATGTATTCCCGCACACAAGACACCTCAAACTGTATGATCTCATTGTGACAATGTATTCCCGCACACAAGACACCTCAAACTGTATGATCTCACTGTGACAATGTATTCCCGCACACAAGACATCTCAAACTGTATGATCTCATTGTGGCAATGTATTCCCGCACACAAGACACCTCAAACTGTATGATCTCATTGTGGCAATGTATTCTCGCACACAAGACACCTCAAACTGTATGATCTCACTGTGACAATGTATTCCCGCACACAAGACATCTCAAACTGTATGATCTCATTGTGGCAATGTATTCCCGCACACAAGACACCTCAAACTGAATGACATCATTGAGGTAATGTATTCCCGCACACAAGACCCCTCAAATTCTATGATCTCATTGTGGCAATGTATTCCCTCTAACAGGACATCTGAAACTGTATGATCTCATTGTAGCAATTGTGATCTTCACATGAGAAATGAAAATTAAATGTATCTCAAACACATTCAAACTTGCATGATCTTAATTTCTATTTAAACAGTACCTATCACACTGCATGAGCTTCACATGGTGACATTTCCCTTTCAAATACTTCATATCACCTTGCATGCTCTTCACACGGCGACATTTACATTCATTCATTACATATAACCCTGCATGCTCTTCACACGGCGACATTTACATTCATTCATTACATGTCACCCTGCATGCTCTTCACACGGCGACATTTACATTCATTCATTACATGATATCACCCTGCATGCTCTTCACATGGCGACATTTACATTCATTCATTACATGATATCACCCTGCATGATCTTCACACGGCGACATTTACATTCATACATTACATGATATCACCCTGCGTGCTCTTCACACGGCGACATTTACATTCATTCATTACATGTCACTTCTCTCATTTCCCTGGTCAGACAACACTCATAACGTAGAGATAACACGCAATGTCACCACTTTTCAAGTTACGTCATTGCAACAGTTTCAAGTTTGGAAAGGGTGTTTGGTTAGTTGAATAATTAGTCTTGTTATAATTAACTGGTCATACTTCTCCATATTTGCCTTCCAAGTGTCACTATGTGAAGACATGAACATTTACTCTGTTTTTTTATAGGTTGTATATGTAACGGCATTGCTTCCCTACATACTGCTTGTGGCGATCTTCATTAGAACTTGTTCGCTGCCAGGAGCTGTTGACGGGATTATGTACTACCTTAAACCTGAATTTGGCAAACTCCTCACAGGGCAGGTATGAATTGTTACACCGTCAGTCACGTAATATCATCCATACATGATGAGACATTCAGGGCTTGGCTTCCATGTATTACCTGACATTCTACAATGGGATTAGCTAACATGTGTAGTGTATATACAGTGTATACACTGTTAAATAATCTTTTGTTGTGATAACGGTGCCTCACCGATTGAACCCATTCCGAATATTTGCAAAGTCTGCTGAAAGTCTGAAAATGAACACAAGAAGAAATGGTTCGGGTCAAAATAGAGAAATGAACTTGAATCAGCGTTTACCAATGATGAATCCATTTTTTACATGCACACATTACATCTTACAAATATTTGAGTAATGAATTCTAATGAAACGTTTGATCTCATATCTTTATTTGTCTGTAGGTACTGTCTCGGAACATAGCTTTATGCTTCAAATAAGTCATTTTCGAATGTTCCAAAGCGACTGGTGTATTTACACAGGTGTGGTCGGAGGCGTGTATCCAGGTGTTTTACAGTCTTGGTCCAGGCTGGGGGATTATCATGACAGCATCCAGTTATAACAAGTTTCGTGAGCCCACTTTAAGGTGATCGAGTCTCGAGTCTCGAAAAGGTTTGCTTAAGACATGTATACCTTTGAAGGCATGTAACATCAGATAAAAGTACACGAGTACCCGAGTCGCCCCTGTTCACAGTGTCTTCAAACAAACTCATTCGCTCATCTACCATAGATAAATATGTCATGTTTAGAATCATAATGCCTGACCTTTTATGTTCATGCATTTGCTACCGTATTCATATGAACTTAACAACTGTTCTTGCTATTCAGGGATTCCATTATTCTATGTACTGTATCAGAAGGAACGAGCATATTCGCTGGGTTCGTCACATTTGCCATCCTGGGTGTTATGGCTGAAAGAGTCGGGGTCCCAATATTTGAAGTCGTATCATCAGGTGAGAGTATTAAGAAGTGTTTCATGTGAATCCCAATCTGCATTTCCTTACAATGTTGACAATAGGTAAACGGGCTTTAATGGAGGTAATTACTAATCTCAGTAAAATTGGAATTATAGATCCGAGTGTATTTTTAAAAATATTTGATACGCTGATACAACGAACCAATATTACTTTTCGGGCTGAAATATGGGAATGCACAAATTTGATGAAATAGAAAAGGTCCATTTGATAGCCTGTAAAAGATTTTTAATTGTCACTCCACAAACTCCTACCGCTATTGTCTATGGTGAGTGTGGAAGGTACCCTTTTTTATAAATGCAATGTATAAAACCTTTAAATATTGGTGAAAAATCACTGGTATGAATGAAGACAGAATTCCTTTAAAAGTCTATAAATGCAAATGTACTATGATAACTTGGGATACAATACATATGCTTCCTATATAAGAAATATTCTTTTTTCACATGGGTTTGGTTATGTCTGGATTTCGCAGACGGTTGGTGATAAAATTTCTTTTAGAAATGAATGCAAATCATTTGCAATCAATATGTTTTTTCCAGTCATGGACGTGTATATTAAATAACAGCTCACGATATTGTATGTATAGAGAATTTAAATATCTTTTAGCTCCCGAAAAATATTTATCATGTATTGTCGATAGAAAACTCCGTAAAATATTGATTAAATTTAGATGTGGATTGCTGAGATTTAAGTATAATGAAGGTAGATTGCAAAATATTAATGTAACGGAACGCAACTGTCCATTGTGTAATTTAGGAGTAGAAGATGAGTACCACTTTTTATTTGTTTGTAATGTCTATAATGCTCTTAGATCAAAATATTTACCATCTGTATATTGTCAAAAACCTAATTATCATAATTTGAAATCCCTATTAACTACTAATAAAGAAACTATTTTAAGAAAATTATGCACATATTTATGCCATGCATATGAACTAACAGAATTAAAATACCTGTCAATTCAGTGAGATAATATTATATATTTTTGTATGATTTCTCCATGTACTATGTTATCATATATGTGTTGTTAACTGAACCTTTGTTATTGTTTACATGTGTAAATGTATGTATAATTTGTGTATATGTTGTATACGGGCCTGTGGCCTATAGACAATAAAAAAGACTTTGACTTTGATATGCTTTTAGGGACTGCACAATGAGTATTGCAATGTTCTCATTGTGCTAACTGAGGATACTAAAAGTTTGAATGTGGCAATATGTGTACCCTTGAAATGACGATACTCTCATTGTGCTAACTGATGATAATGAAAGGTTGAATATGGCTATATATACAGTGTACATGAAAATGACGAGTATAACATCCTCTTTTTCCAGGACCAGGATTAGGATTCGTTGCCTACCCAGAAGCCCTGTCACATCTTCCACTTCCACAGCTGTGGTCCTTCCTGTTTTTCCTGATGTTACTGACTGTAGGACTAGACGGTCAGGTGAGACAATATGGTTGTAAAATACACATGGCAACATAACCATGCCATTAATGCCTGTATCCAAAATATAACTCCAAATACAAGAGGCATCAACTGGTTCGCCTGTTCCTGGAGTGAGTGCGTGAGTGAGTTAAAAGTTTACGTCACTCTGTTCCTGGACAGTAGACGAAGGACTAATGAGAATTGCGTCTGTAATGCCTCAACTGAAGACTGAATGAGTAATCTATATATTTGACTTGCAGTTTATGTTTGTTGAGCTCCTGACAACAACGGTCATAGATCAGTTCCCCACAACACTCAGACACAGACGAGGCTGGGTCACAGGGGTGACATGTGTCATCGCCTTTGCTGCTGGTATCATCATATGTACACAGGTAAGTCAGCAAAGCTTAGATGTTCCATTTGTCCGAACCACAACATACGGGGACAGAACATTTAGCAGACGGGGTGCTGTACACTGGAATGGATTACCTGAAAATGTGAGAAAATCATAAACCATCCTGTTCAAACGAGCATTCGACTAAGCGCACATGAGCAGGACTCTGGATATGTAGCGCTATACAAATGTCTAATTTGATTTGATTGACTTGAAGATATGCCCAGCTGATACATTGACCATAGAGTTTGCGGTGTAACACGGTTGATGTTTCATGTGAATCATGTGACTTAATGACCATCAAAGGAAAGACAGGAGGGAAATGTTTCATAGTGAGACGAAAAAAATTGCCAGGACCTACAAGTATATTTCCAGCTACTCAAAGTATATGTTCAAGCCAAAGTGATTCATATGTATTTATATTGAATTTATTTGTTCTAATAAGTTTGTCAGAACATTATCATAGTTAACGCATGCGCATAAACTGAGGTTTTTCCTGAAACATTTTAGCGGATTGCACTTGGTTTCAAAGGGGATAACTGCTGTATGCCACCTGCTTGCAATGTCAGCAGCACTGCCATAGAGAAAATCGTCTACAAACGGTATGAAAAACTTTGACATATTTGGCTGTCAATCTATAGCGAGAAAAAAGTATCGAATTGACTGTCGACTCGAATCTGTGCTGAAAAAAGCAACATGTTTTCCCGAGTCAGTTGCACTAATGTGTCTTCCACATCTATACCATACATCCTTGTCAAGGCTTTGCTAAGGTCTCCAATGCTGTTACCCTGATCAAGCAGCATTTAAGCAACAAATGTATGACGTGATTTTAACATTTCTGTAGAGAAGGGGTGCTCGATTGTTCTTCAAAACATGTGAAATGTAGGCATCAAAGGACACAATTACAGTTCGAAAGCTAAGTCATCATTCTGTTCACTTTGATAAGTTTGAGGAACACTCCTGTACAACTTACTCTTGTTAACATTTTCAGGGTGGCCCATACATCATGCAACTGATCGACTGGTACCTGGTGGCACTGTCGCTGTTCCTCTTCTGTACCCTGGAGTGTGTGGCTGCTGTCTGGTTCTACGGTAACGCTACGTACATCTGCATGCGTGCAGTTATATTTAGCACATCGAAATTGTTACTTGAAGAAGATAGTGTCATATCAGCAATATTTCAGCCATAGTGTGACGAGACCAATTTATACATTAAAAACATGTCTTCAATGGACATAACACACTAACAGATTACCGTAGATTTTAAACTTAAAAGTAGCAGGTTATTATTAAACGACATCACTATAAAGACAAATACAATTTTCAAACGAGCTGTCGAATCAAGCAGCTGGAGGTAGATCACGATACTAGTTGCCATAGGGTCTTTTGCTATCTGCATGGACCCATAGCTGGATACATACCATTCCTTCAGTTGTTGGTGATGTCGGTGCAAATTAGCAATACATTAAATTCACATATTCTATAATTTAAATACCGAATGTAATGGGACCATTATTTTACGCTACTTAAATTCCCGTTACAGGTACTGCGACTAACACAATTATTTATTTATTCTTCCAAATGATGTTTTTACTTGTATGTACAATATATATTCTTTTCAAAATATAGCAATTAAACTACAATTATTAAATAAGAACTTATATATTATGTATAGATGATGATTTGAAATAGTTATGCCTTGTGATTTAGAAATCAATACAGTCAAGCAGGATATGCTTGACTATGATTCTTTCTTCACAAGGGAAACAAAATGGAGGCTTATCTTAGTCACCTTTCAATAAATATTTATGAGTATATCGGCGGTGGCTAATATGGCATCATCTTAAGTAGGTGTAAAAGATAGCTGTTTATATTTCATGTCATTCAATGATACCTACTTGGGTGTCCCACTTCATTTGCTTTAGATCCCGGATGTAACTTCTAATAAAAGATTTGTAGTCACTGAAAGGTATCAGAAAGTTTGTTGAGTGCTGCCGTGGCAGCTATTTATATGAGCAGCTTGGACGCCTTTGAGATAAACAATCTACCATCACCTGACAATTGTATTATCTGGTTACTGTTTACACATCTATAGTCAACCTCAGGTAACCTTCTGGGCGATTTTATGTTTCGGAACATCCATGCCCGATCCATCTATCGGGGATTGGGTCATCTGAATCCACTGGGGAGGAAAGCACACGGTGTTTCACTGTATACCGTTTATTTAAGGTATCGAGCAGCTGAGTGAGGACATTGATATGATGAGTGGACGTCCTCTTCCTGTTCTGATCAAAGTCCTGTGGGGCATCGTCACCCCAGCCATACTGATCGTAAGTAAACATTTTACCCAACTAACATACCACCCAATGTCGGTGTGATGTTCCTACACCACATATTCTTTGTATATACATTATAAAAAAGGGCTATGGATCGCCAGCAACCGATGGTAGATCACCATACTAAGGTGCATGGAGACTTACATTACTTTTGCTACCTGCCTGCATATAGGAAAAGTCTATTGAGCAAGAACACATTGCGTTGATGTGGACTCAGCTTCTCATTTATCGATAGTCTGGACTGAGTGAGTAGGTGAGCTGAGTTTTACGGCACACTCAGCAATATTCCGGCTATATGGCGGTGGTCTGTAAATAATCGAGTCTGGATCAGACAATCCGGTGATCAACAGCATGAGCTTCGATCTACGAATTTGGGATACGATGACATGTGTGAGCGAGCCTGACCACCCAATCCTGTTAGTCGCATCTTACGACAAACATGGGTTACTGAAGATCTATTGTAACCCGGATCTTCACGGATATAGTCTGGACTGGTTAATTACAACTTTATATCACTTAAGATGGACGAAGCTGGGGGGAAATCTTACTACAATATTTGTGTTGCTTGACGATTGTCACTTTGCTCTGAAACAGGTAAACAAAGCCAGGTCTGTTTTGCAGACTGCTTTTGAAATTTAGATGTTGGAGAACGTACATGGTGTGGATACATGTTAGCTCAGTGATTGTGCTGTATCTTCAACACCACTGCTACTACTTGCGGTGGTGACACCGATTAGTGGCTTTTGGGTGACATCAGTAATTGACGTTTTCTAATCTTGAAGATCTACATGAAACTGAGTCATTATACCCCGTATATTCCAAACACATTCATATTATGTATAGAGTTGTTTGAACTTATCTGGATGTCCATGCTGTGTACGAAGACACATAAACATATATCATGAGATTTAGTTTGTAGTCACCTTTGTGGTTGACATAATGAGGGCGTTTCAAATTTATTCTTTTGCTGTAAGGTCCAAGGTTTGTTCGGGCTACAATTGACTTGCCTTTGCATGTATCTCTGAAGGGTGACACTTTTCGTCACTAAGCACTCTTGGCAGTGTTACTATTTATAGTGCTCAATGAACACATACGCGGAATCGTACATTATATACGTAATTACTTTTAAAAAGGCTTTATCAACAGGAAACATAATCGGATTTCACTGGCATGACACAGATTTGTTGTACCTCGAATCGAGTACCGCTTAAAGTGTTTTTAGTTAACACAATTTGTAACAACATTTTGAGCATGGTACCGAAAACAGGATAATATATTCCACTTTTGCTTTTATTCTACAACCCACAGGTTGTGTTCATCGTGACGATTTCGCAGTACGATTCTCCCACCTACGGGAAGTATACCTACCCTGTGGAGGCCACTGTGATTGGATGGATGATTGCCCTACTTTCAATTATTCCAGTGGTCATTGTTATTCTAAAGACTTTGCTGAAACAACGTGGGTCACTACAACAGGTACGATTTCCTGAGTTTACAAGAACGGCAGCCTAAGGGCGACTTGATGGGGTAATTGTTCTTGAATATATTTGGAAAAATGTATTAAAAACCACATGTCCTTCTTGTCTTATACATTTCAAACTGATCATCTCGTACATATTAGGTGATATCATGTTATTCAAGGGTTTTCAAACTATATTCGATAGTCATGTTTCATTCATGTATTATACTGTTCCAGAGACTGATGTTGTCCCTTCGACCAAACTCTCAGTGGCGTCCAGCGGAAGACTCGCTTACAACAAGACACAAGGAATCGCTTCTTCGCAATAGACGAACCTTCTCAGAAAACCTCCGATATATTTTCAAACCTCAAACTCAATCTAAGCGATGGAACATTGGCTTCAGTTAATAATCAGTATACGCGCTCAAATTTTGATATCCTAAGTTCTGTGAAATCACTGTACTGGTTTATCTAAGAAGAAAAATACAATAAAATACGAAAGGTGACGACAGATCTGTTCAGTAGTTTTAATTTTGATAATGAATTTGAATGTCGTTTGAATGTTTATATGCAATATCTAATACAATATTTATACAGTTGACTCCCTCTAAACCGTTATCGCTCGGGACCGGTGAAAAATGTCTGTGAGTGTGTGAGTTACTATTTAACGTCACATCGGCAATATCTCAGCCATATCGTGACGAAAACAATTTATACAATATAAAGAGAAAACGTTTTGAAGATTAAAACCTGTCGACGATGGACAGTAAAAATACTAGAGAATCATAGATATGAATAAAACTAGCGAGCAAAGCTAAAATATTTCAATTAAAGAGGACAATACAGTATAAAACACGGGCTATAGATCGCCAACAACTGAAGGTAGATCACCATACTAGGAACCATGGGAAAAATGTCTGATTGACTCCCTTTGATAGACAGGGCAGGACTTGGATGATGCAGAATGTGGACCGTTAGAGTTGACACATTTATAATCCTTCTGACAGTCGGTGGTATTCTCATGGTTGTCACCACAACGGTGACACACGACAGAGTTTCGACATGACTGAGATCCATGACCGAAATGTTGACATTTGTAACATCGGAGCGGATTGGGGACATACACATCCACTCCGATGTTAAAATAACCTGCTTTAATTGGGGTTTGGAAGGGAAGATCGAGAAAAGGTCACCAGATAGGTGTTCGTTTTAGTGATGATGCCCTCTTTCTTAAAAGTGAAACGTTTTACCGCCGTGACACCTTGATTTTCAAGCTCTGCAGCTATGTCCTCTTCTGACATATCATAGAGACAACGAGCCCTGTCTCGTATGATACCTCGGCAAGAGTTTAACGTTCTGTGCACGGACACAGCAACCTCGATATTGGCAAAATCTTGACTGACAACAAATTGAGAGATTGCTGTCTCCGTGCACACTCCACGAGAAGCGATCCACTACGGAGACGGGTAACATTTTGTACCTCTCCACAAATTCCGGAAATAGCCTTGAAAATGGCAAACGGGTTTAATTTGATCGGCAGAAACTCTGTAGCTTCAATCACAAGAAACCGAGGCCATGAATCAACATTTGAAGTATTTGTTTCATTTGAACGATCTAGTTCGTCTAGTCGTCTCTTTTTTTCATTGCGATTTGAACCAGTTTGTTGGGTTGACATGATGAAAGGAATAAAGATTCAGCACCCCTGTTCCCCACCCACCATGGAGTGTCAACAAGGACGATGTCAAATAGCACCGGATCTCCAAGATGCCGACACCAGGGATACAGGGATGTTATACTCCAGCGAGTATGACACAAATAGCAATATTTGTATACCAATTAAATATCAGGCTGGTTCTTGCACATGACAAGAAATTGGACACATACTGAATTTGGAGGTCAAAATCACCAGATTGGCCCATGAGCCACCGCCTTCTGGCACAGGACTCTAGGCATTGTAATATATTGATAACTTGTAAATTGGAAATTGAAAAAGCCAACACCCTAATATGACTAAAATGTGCAAAAAATATTCACCATGCACAGGGCTTGGCGTGACCAGCCGATTGATAGAACCGGGCCAGTTCTACCACCCGTCTAGGTGAAGTAAGGGCCAAAGTGGTGTGTTGGGCAAAAGGAACACGGTTCCAGGAACCTATTGCCCTCAACCATCAGAATCCCGTCCTCCACCGACACAGGGGCGCAACCCACAGCAAACGGGTTGGTGGACCAAATATCCCCCCGGGTCCACAACGGGGGATTGAAGAGCGCTAAGCGTTACCCAGCACCCACCACGAGGA